TCCTTGTTGCTAGAGCAACTGCACTCCTTTTCTGTTTGTATGTACCAACTGTTCCAGGAAAGACACCGTGGCAATGTTCTGGCTGATGAAGTTCACAATACAATGATCAAAACTCCAAGATGAATTCTGGATGTGTTGGAGCTCTACTAAAATTATTGCAGTCCAACATAAGGGAATTTGTAACTTCTGCTGCACTTCACCTGTTCACTAGGGATTGAAGGGAATTATTTGAAATTGGCAGAGAAGTTTGATGGGAACCTCTAAGACAGAACCACAGAAAAGTGAGGGAACAGAGATAATGCAGGGTTAGATTAATACAAGTGTTTGCCAATTCCTTCATTTTACTAAATCACTGCAATAGAATTTATTGGCTGGCCACTCTGGGGTGACAGTGAGGAATGATAATCCTGCAGAAGTCATCAGGAGGGCAGAAACTAGATAACAAACTTGTTTTTCTCCTGCTCCACCACAGAACATTTACTCTGCCAAAAGGAATGATGTTGTTAAAAGTCTTTGCAGTCAGCTGCAGCTACTTCTATCTATCAACCAGAAAATAAACACAGTTTCACACATACACTTGAGTGACTTCACTTTTGGGCAAAGTCTGAAATCCTTGCTAGCAGAAAAGGTTAGAAATTTTTAATTCAACCAACAGGTCCAGAAGCACTGCCTCTCTATGAGAATTATGCAGGTTTTTTTAAAACTTCTCAAAAAAGAAAAATACAACTATTTTACAAGAAAATCGATACAGGGTTTCCTAGAATAGAGGTTTTCATTTACCCAAAACAAGTACTTGTTCAGAAGAATCTGACCTTCAGCACACCACCACTTGACTGTGACAGCTCAAGACCCAGAATCCCTGAAATGGCAGCAAGTTTCCTAATGGAGAATGACTCAGCATGGACCTCACTCTAGGCAGCTGGCACAGGACACACCCCATGGAAAAGTATCAGCTCCTGCTGTTATCCAGGATCACAGCACTGCTTCCTCAGCCTGACACCGGACAGATTCTCCTTTGTCACAGAAAATCCCCACCAAATTGCTGCCTAGTTTCTATCTTTTAGGATGTGGATGAGTGACACATTGCTAAGGATGCAATAAAGATTTATCCTACCTTAGACACACCAAACCCTCTCTGATAATTTAACAGTTATAATGAAGGTCTCAGAATTGGTACAGGCATCAAGAATCAAGAGGGAATGTGGCTTCCCTTCCCACACATCACACACTGTCCAGCTTCTTTTCTCACACTTGGGAGGTGAGAGAGCAGCTGGAATGCAGAGCTCCACCTGGGAACAATGAGCCAGTCGAAGCTCTTGGGCTGGACACAGAGGACAGGCCAACAGGGGTGACATTCCAGGGGATGTCTGCTGCAAGTAGCCCTGCCATAGGGAAGCTCTCAAGGCATTCCTCAGACACATGTGAGGAGCCTGACACTCAGAAGTGACCAAAGAGCCAAGGTGGTTCCTGCTGGATCTCATCCTTATGGACAATAACTGGCCAGGAATGTGAGGGCCAGGGGGCCAATTTAGCTTCAGTATCCATGATAGTGGAGTCATGGATCCAAAGAGGGACGAAATCAGCAAAAAGCAGCATCACAGCCCTGGAGTTCAGGACAGCAGTCCTTGGCCTTGTTCAGAGATCTGCTTGGAAGACTCCTGTGGCACACAGTGCTGGAAAGAGGTCCAGGTGAGCCTGGTGATTTCTGAAGTATCACCTCTCCAAGACAAAGAGCAAAACAAGCAGAGGTTGACCACAGAGCTCCTGACAGAACTCACCCCTGAAAAGGAAACACACAGGAAACAGCAGCAGGGACAAGTGCCTGGGGCTTGTGTGTGTGCAGGCACGGGGACAGGAAAGCCAAAGCACACCCAAAGCTGCATCTGGTGAAGCACATGGAGGGCAAAAAGAGGGATTGCTGTGGGTGCACCTGAGTGGGAATGGGCAGCTGGTGATGAAGGACAAGGCTAAGGCCACATTCACCTTGAGCTGTAATGGTAAGATCAGCCTTCCAAAGCAAAATTCAAATTGAAGACGTCAAAACCAGGTTTTGCTTTATCTACAGTACGTATGTGTGCTTCTGAGAGAATGCAACTTCTGCCATGTCCCTGGTTCCTGCAGTTCACTGGAAGGAGAAGGTGGACAAGCCAGCAACAACAGTTAAATGAGAAGCAGCAGCAACTGCTGCTTACTCTGTTAACATACTCTGAATAGAATGTAAAAGAACATGATTAGAGGTCAAAGTGCTGATGTAGACTAGATCAGCAGAGCTGTCACTACAGCCATTGCTTTCATGATAGACAACTGTTCTGGCCAAAACCCTTAGGAGTAGCAATGTACAACTAACCACTTGTCTACTACTATTACAACAAGAGCAAAAATACCTAACAACTTTGCAATGTGTGTGTTAAACCAGGATGACTTTTTTACTCACTGCTGTCACAGGAGAGTCAGCTGCTGTAAGAGGAGGGCAGAAAGCCAGGTCTGATAGAATCTATCAGCTGTCTCCTTCACAAAACCAGCTCTTCAGCCAGTTCAACAGATGTGCTACCAAACACCCACATGCAGAGTGCTGTCACCATTACGTTTTATCCTGTGGAAGGTCTGCACCAGTCAAACTCTGCCCAAGAGCCATTCTGCCCAGTCTGGGTTTTGTGTCCCCTTGAGAATTTGTTCATGCAAGTGGGGAGAAGTTTGGCCTGACTTTGACACAGTTTGTTCCTTACCAGTACTACTCCTTGTACTTAGTTTGCAATCCTTCATCTTTACTTAAAGGAGAGAAGCATTACTTTATTGTGCTTGTTTTTCAGAATTTGTTCTTCCAGAAGTCAAGAGCTGCAAATTGCAGAACAGCCAGGGAAGCAGAGCTCCAAAATGAAAGAATTTTCTATCATCCTTCAACAGCTGTTAGGGCTTCCCCTCAATAAATACAGAATAACAGTATGAAATGGGCTACTTCAAGTTAGTGTGCTCATTCTAATGGCACAGATTTTCACTACAAAAAACCCTCTCTAGAGTTGTTAGTTATTACAGTAAGACAGTTACTGCCCCAGTTAACAGCCCACTGCCTACAGCATATAATTAGATCTTCTACATCTTATGTGCTATTTTAATTTACAGGTGGCAAGGTACAGATATACCACGGAAACCTAATGGCATTTTCCCACTTCTGCTCACATTCTTAGTCTTGATATGTAATGCATTCAGCTTAGTAAAAAAATGTTCTTAGGTTTATGCACTTAACACTGAGTAAGTGTTTTAACAATAGTTATGAATAATGAATTCTCTCCTACATAAGAACTGAAACAAACTTTTATTGCAACAGTGAACTCTGAAAATACTTCAAAAACAATAGTCTGTACATTATGAAATATCAATGCAGCAGTGGCTGTCAGTTAAGGAACTTGGACAACTCTATACAAATGCAGAAAAGCCTTTAGCACTACCTGATAGACACTGCCAGTCACTGTCAGTTACAACACCCCCAGGTGCTTCACTGGTAAATTTGAGCCTTACAGCTTTAATGCCCCTTATTTAGTGAAAATCAGCAGGTAGGACAGCAGCCTCCAAGGAAGCAAATACAGAATCAATTGAGGAAATTCAGTGATAAAGGTGAACGACTATGAAAGGTTATGTAAGAATAGAAATGCTTCAGTGATCCTAAAACACTGGACAAAAGGGTCCAATTGGCCTTATAGCAGCTGCAACAGGTTTCCAGCCAAACCAGCACTTGGCCTTTTGTGACACACTGATCAGCATGCTCAAATAAACCTCTTATTTTGGCTGCATTTTGGGTTTTGCTTGCATTTGTTTTGTTGGGTTTTTTCCTTATTCAAGGGAAAGAACCACTTCATCTAAGAGTTTCAGTACCTACAAGGAATGAAATCTTCACACAGTTAGTTGCTATGGAAATAGTATTTCAAAACTGGACATCTGTTGGTACAAAATCTAGGAACAACTTAACAAAATAAGCTCTTATTTCTCAGAATCACTTGCTTAGGAGACACATGGACTAAGCACAAGGCACAGACAGACAACTTTTTGGGGATTACTCCAAGCACTGCCTCCATAAAAAGGAACATCTAACTTCCCTAGAAAATGTCAAGACAGTGTCCCACTTTTTTATGTGCCCCCAAATAATTAGGACTGGTATCTACCCAGCCTGACTAAACTCTTGTGAAATAGATCAGTTTGAATTTGATACTCTTTCCAAACAAAAAAACAACTAAGAAACCAGCTCCATAACACCTATACTTGTCTTCAGTCTCTAAGTTTGAGGCATATGCATTTCTTAAAAAGCAAACTGATGCAAAATTTAAAAAAAAAAAATCTATGCTGTACTTGTCCCTGATGTATATAATAGAGCCTGTCCCTCTAAGAAATTTAACAGATAAATTTGCCACAGTATTTCTTTCAAGACATTTTATATAAATTCTGCTTTTTTGCCTTGAAAGACCACTCAAATTTTTCATGGCTAAAGCTGATATATTCCAGCAAACTGTTGGGACTACTGACTTTAAATTAGTTCCCCTAGGGCAGCCCTTCACACCTTCAGTGCTTTTTCCCCTGTATCAGTTTTTGAAGCAAGACTGTTACACACTGAAATCCCATCTTCCAAATGCAGGAGATGGGAAGGCTATTAAAAAAAAGAAATAAAGCAAAAAGTTTAAATTGTTTACACACTGGTCACTAAATAATTCTTCTAATTCAATTATATTGATTACTCAATCTTGAATTTGCACTCTATTCATTAAGAAATACAACTAGTACAGCATGCAGTTTTAAAGATGTGACTGTTAGGTCCCTTCAAAGTTAAGTTTTCCTGTAGATAATGAACAAGATTCTTTAAATTCACTCAATAGTTTTATCATTCTAACAAGAACTTCAACTGTCAAGGTTTGCACAGAAGATGAAAAACTGCAGTCTGGACAAACTACTAGTTATCTTAGGGAAATGAAGAAAATCAGAATTTACAGCTGTCCTGGATGTGAAAGAGATTTTCAAATACTGAAAGACTTGGATAGATCAGATGCACTTCTCAGCAATCGAGTAACTCCTCTTCCTTTTACAACACTTGCTCCACAAGGGGAGGTCTTCACACCACATGGAGAATCACCTAATAAATTAAATACAGTTTGCACATCAAAACAGCCTTTAAAGCTTGCATAAATTAATGGAATTGCTGTTCATGCTGTGGAGCTGAACCTATTCAACAGCTCTGATACAAAAAGCCAGGCAGGTCGTGTCCTCCACAAACACCAAAACCATAAGATCATGATTTCCAGGTGGAACAGAGTTTAAACTCAGCATGGATCTTATGCATAAGATATCAAGTTGCAAACTCAGAATTCTTACTTATTTTGCAAACCTGTTCCTCTGAAGGTTAGCCATGAAATGCCCAGATGAACTGAGCTCAGAGGCCTTCTAGTAAAAAAAAATCCTTTCTGCAAAAAGAGACTTTAAAAAAAGAGAAGTCTTTTAGCTGAGTTGTGACAGAACATTTACAAGAAGGACCAGCCCAGTCTGTACATATAATGATTTAAGAACATGGAGAGTATTTTAAACATGGCCCTGCCTCAAAGCACCTGGGCATGGGAATGGCTTCAGTTAACAGAAAAGCATAAATCAGAGAGCAACATTTCTAAGAAAAACTGAATTTTGAGAGATGTTTTGAACCCTAAGAGTCTGTCCAATAAGAAAAGGCCAGCTCTTCCTCCTTGAGTCTTCAGTGTGTGAGCTGTGCATCACTTTCAGGCAACATCTAAGCCCAGAAATTTGAAAAAGTAACAATTGGATTAAGTTTAAAGAGCTCTTTCCACTAAAAAAATGTGGAAGTTTCAAACTCACAATTAGAAGGGACAAACTCTTGATCCTGTCTTGGAGAACCCAAAGGTTTGCTGCATCCAGAAGTCTCAGCTTTCATTTTCTATACCAAAAAAAAAAAAAAAAATTCAAAATAAGGTACATGTATCTGCTAACATGAAACATACACCACTAGCCATCAAACCTATGAATCATGGTCAAAATCCTGCAAGTTCATCAGTCTGCCCAACATATGTCACAAAGGACAGCATCCAAAGACAAAACAGCTCATGTGAAATTGGCAACTGGAAATAAATCAGGGTATCAATTGAAAAAAATCTGACCTGGGTGTGTCCAGCATCCAGTTTTACAATCCTGGTATTTGTGCTTTGACCACAATCAGAGTCTTGCAGAGGCAGGTGAGCTGCTGTTAGTGGGACTCCATACACACTAGCAAAGGATTTACTGATGCAGTAACTGGACCAAGAACAAAAGGAAAACAAGAAAGGTCTGGATAACAGGAATGCTGATGTGTGGAAGCACAGCATTTTAGGTTCTTCAGCTGGCAAACAAAAGCAGCCAAAGCCTGAGATGCACAGAACAGATACCAGAGGGCAGAAGGACTTTCTGCCAGCATCCCTGCTTCCTTCCAAGACCACCAGTCTGCTGTACAACTACACATGAAATACAAACAAACTGCTTCCCCACATTATCAAATGTAGCACTTAGAATGTGAAAAGCAACTTTTTTTTTTTTTTTGGGGCATAGCAGTCCATGATGAGTTTTTTGAATGAAAGACTATTTATTATTGTCTCTCTAAGTGCTACTACTGCTGCCAACAGAGATCATAAATAGCATTTCCTCATTTCCAAACTATTTACTTTTCCTTTCTCCCCACCAAAAAGATCACAGAACCTCATGTATCTACATTATATGTCAGGCAGTATAGAAGTCTCCAAAGCAGAGATATGCCAGAGCATAATGAGAATACCTCTGAAGTCAAACAGTGAATTCTAATGTGATTAACACTTTTCCCACCATTGCAATGCTAACAAAATAAAAGCCATCATTCTGGAGTCAACCCTTCAAGCAACACTCACCCCATTTTCTTACAGGATGCCAGAGCACAGCAGATTATATCATTCTCCTCATGCCACTTGCACCTACATGAAACGAAGTTCAGGTTATTTCAGAAGCACCTACATTGTTAAGCAACAAGAACAGTTGGTCTGGCCAGATGTACAGGAACAAATATTAAAAATGGTAACTTTTTGTTGCAGTAACCATGCAGTACTTTAAAATTTCAGAGTTCAATAGCTTTGCCCTAAGTAGTTTATGCAGAGTTTAGAGGTCTGCTTATCAGGCAATCTGCTTCATGCTGAGGTGGGGGGCAGGGAGAAAAGAGAACCCTAAGAGACAAATGGAATTTAAACCATTTGAACCATTCCAAGCTTCCCATTAATGTGAAATAGCTCCTCCTAGCACAAACATCCTCACTTTCCTCTCCAAACCTGTCTTTTAGAGTACATGCTTCCATTCTCCTTAAGGTCCCCCCCTAGGGTGAGGATACTATGGGAACACAAAACTGCCTGACTATAAAAAGACAAAGTGACAACGATGAACCCAATGGATCTTAAAAACCATATTCCAAGCACACTTCCAAGAATAATCTACATAGTTTTTTTTTTTAATCTACTGAAACTTAAGATCATATTATTGGTTCTTTTCTTAAACTAGTTGCAGAGGAAGCACTGGAGTCTATTTCTAAATTAACTGCATAATCACCCAGTATGCTCCTGCAGCACTGCAAGCAAATATCACTTTTTGTACCAACACAAACAAATCTGAAAGCAGGCACATTTACACAAAGAACCACCCAACACACCTGGTATTACTGGAGAAATCCCACAGGCAGACATCCAGTTTTCTAGACACCCAGATCTTGGATGGCTCCTTTTGGTGTTTCTTCTGGTACAGTTTCATTATCAGGTCTTCTACTGCAAAAAGCTCCCAGTGGCTCTCAATGCCTACAGTTCAGTGAAAATCCAGGCCAGGAGAACAGGAGTCACTGAATATCCTGCTCAGCTCATTTCTCAGTCAGTCCCTGTTCACTGCCCAGCCTCTTATCATAGCATCAAAGCTCAAAGATATTCCACCAGCAGTTTTCATAAAACCTGGCTTCCTAGAAAATGGTGGGAAAAAGGAGGAGGAAAGAGCATGCAAAGGAGTTCTAGCTATCAGAATCAGCTTTTATGAAAACTGAGACATGCTTTTCAGACAAATACAGCTGTCCATGAATACACAGCCCTTATTTCTGGGGGTAGGAGGGGAAAAGGATGGACAAAAATGATCCATTCCCTACCTGTTATGCTGGCCATTCGACCAAGACACCAGTTAATTCGGAATCTGTCATTAGACTGGAGGAAAAAAGATTTCTGTCATCTCAAAGGAGTAAAGTACAGAATTCTGACACTTCCATGACTTCTGTCCAGGTCTGAAAAAGGCACCTCCAAACCAAAATTGTTTATGGCACTGAATGCACAATCACCCTGATGAGTACCTTGAAGAGGACCCAAATTTCATACTTCTTCAGAGCCCTGTGTTTATGGATGGAACCCAGAATCCTGTCCTTCCCTACTTTTTAAGGATTAACATTAGGTTTGAATTGAATTGAAACATAATAGACCTGTTATGAAACTTAAACACCTCTGAATCCTAACATTTTGTTCTGTTGCCTGAAAAATGAAACTTGAGCAAAAATTTAAGACACGTGTTACTCTCATGGGGAAAAGAGTCACGAAAACGTAAAAATATCCTTTCAAAAAAGCAGGATTTATGACTATTATTGAGCACATCCAATTTAAGTCAAATGTTAGGAGCCCGTAACCAAAGTCATAACAATGTCAGAGAACAAAAGACCCTGTTCATCAGTAGATTAGAGCCAGAAGAGCAGGCTGAAAATAAAAAGGCAGAAAATTAGGTCTCTGCTTTATAAAAAGGTTGGCTTCTAGAGGCCATTTCTTCCTGAATGGAACTGGGACACTCTGGAAAAAGTGTCTTTCCCCACATATATGCACACTGATTAGGTTTTAGAGTGAAGTACGTCCTTAGTCACCCAACAGGAGTGAGAGCAGAAGTGGAGACTGAGAGCTTTGACCTTGGCCATACCCTGCAGAAGAAGCGAGGCTGAGCACCTCTGGCTGGCTGGGCAAACTCAACAAGTTCCCGTAGCACAACTGCGTAACAAGAACGAGGAAGGTGAAATCCAGATATAGGGATCTTGTGGGTTTCATCACCTAAGGGAGGAGGGAAGGGGGACAGGGGAAAAAAACAACAAAACAACAACAAAAAATGACTAAATTGTGAGAAGTCCAATTTCCTGAAGAGATACAGTTGCCTCCTCCTTTCTATCTTTCTGTATACACATATATATATGCACACAAACACACACACACTCCTCTCCACAGACAGGGTCTGTGTTTAAGCTACCAAAACCTTGCTTCTGTCAGCAGCTCTGGGCTGTGAGCAAACACTCACCCTCCTGCCCCTTTTACAAGGCTATTATCCAAGTATTAGATGTACACAGGCCAAGTTTGTTCCCTCTGTACACAAGGAGAGGAAGTGTCCTAATAGAAACAAACTGGAGTCTATAAACATTACTGAGAGTCACAAAGGAAACAGGCAGGCCAAGCCAGACACAACAATGGCGCAGATATTTTAGTTTTGGTAATATATGCCAAGCTGCTAAACATAACTTTTAAATATAAAGTAGTATCTTTGAGTTACCCTGTTGTTAATTAGCACTTCATGCTGAAGATACACACAAGGACCACCAAGACTTACAAAACATTTGGACAGAGGTCAGATAAGCTGAGTCTAAAACTGCACACCATTCTTTTTCTCCATTAATACTCACCAGCAGCCTGGCAGTGGTACCGAAAACCACGTGGTGGTACTTCTGCAAAAAAACAGGAGAAAGCACAATCATCATCCAACACCACCAAGGAGAGATCCTTAACTCCCCACTGTACACCACAGCTTCACATACAGAAAGGAACAGCTTCATCTTCCCTTGTGGCCTTGTGAACATGCCTCAACTATTTTTGGAAAAGTTATTTTCAGTAAGCATTTTAAAAAACAAAGTGCATTGTAGAGTGAGTTTAGGTCCAACCAAGAGAAACATTCATTGACATCAAACATAAAGCACAAACACGTGCAGGTCCTCCTGGGTTTAGCCTACCCTCTTTGGAGTTACATGAAGCTCTGACACTAATTCTCTTCAGAAACAAGCTCAGCACTCCTCTGATATTTTAAGAAGTCTGACCGTTTATAATCAAAGAAATAAATTTTTCTTAATACCACAAGTATAACCTGGGCAGCAGTGAGGCTGGAAACCTCAGAACCTTTCTGGAACCCAGAAAGCTTCCCTCTCAAGCCCAGCACTTCTCTGACTTTCCTGAACTCACCTGGATCTATGAAGTGGTGGAAATCAGCCACGATGCCATCTTGCAGGGAGTACCTGACACACCCAATCTCACAGGGAAGGAAGCGCTGCTCGCAGTGCGGTGGCAGCTTCCCGTAGCTGTAAATGTCCAGGAAGTAGAAGATGTCTGCAACCATATCTGAAAGAAGAACAAAACCATCTTCAGACAAGCCACCAGAGGTTACAGAAGCCATGCTGGTCTCCCCTCATCCAGGGAAAGCTTTTGTGAACTTTCTCCTATGACTGACTGAAGATTAACAACCAAGCAAAACACACAGCTCTTCCTCTGTATCCAAGATGACAAGGTAACAACACTTGTGTAGAATTCAGGCACACTGGACACCTTCCAGAGATCCTGCTGTGTGTAGAGATGGGCAAAAAAACAACAAATACAAGCAACTAAAAAAAAAAGCCAACCCCCAAACCCACGTGATGTTAAGAGGCCTGCAATCCAACAGGAACCATTATTCTTTTTAAGGATAGGTCTCTTGCCCTTTCATAAAATAAGGTTAGGGAAAAGCCAAATCAGTAGCTGCAAAATAGCCTCACGAGCTAAATTTGGCAGCCTACACCACTTAAATGAGTTGGTAGTAATCCTGTGGGGCAAGAAGATGAGAAGTCTGCTAATTGAAAGGATTGCTTCTCCACCAAACGAGCTCCCAAAGAAAGTGGCAAGAATACCCAACACAAATGTTAAGGAACAGATTTATCATTTACTAATTAAAAAGTATCCAACTATGACAAATATTTTATAATACACCTTAATCCTTCTCTTCACGACCGTCACAATGTCCTCAGTGAAGTTTAACACAGCTATTTAATCCTTACTCTTAACTGCTGCCCCTCATCAAAAAAGTCCTGCTTGCTCTACTAAAGATGTGTTACTGTCTTCACACATAAATAATTTTGTATGCCAGTCTTTAGGACATTTAACACCAGCTGCCCCAAGCCTGAATGGTCATGCTCCCTCATGTAGGTCTTAAACTGCAAAAGCTCAGGGGTCATAGGAAAGACAACTCTCCTACCTTCTGAAAAAATGGATATAGCTCCAGGGAACCATACACAACTTCAACTGAGAAATATTAAGAGCAGCATCATGAAATGTATCTCAATTATCCCTTATCATTAGCCTCTCATTCAGCTAGAAGATGAACTGTGCCAACTCAAGCCAGCCAGCATGATCAGCCCAATCAAATCTGCATCACAATGACAGGGGAGCACGACCCCTGGCACAGAGGGCACTAATAAGCATTTCACTTTTCATGGAGCTACTGTTTCTTGCTCCCCCATAACCATGACAACATGAAAACAGTTCAAGAGACTGAGGTAAAAAGCTGGAGCTGAGACTTAACCATGCAGCAGATACAGCTTATACAAACTGGCTTCTTGACTCACCTTGTAAGCAGTACCTTTTATCATTTTTCAAAATATTCATTGGGTAGAAGATTACAAATGTGTTCACTACCCAGCTCTAATTAGAACAACCATTTGGAGACAGGTACAGGTTAGAAACATTTTGTTTTCAAGAGTTCTTCAACAAGAAAGCAAGTCAGGATGTTATAAAGTCATTGACAGAGTGCATATTCCCTCTTTTATTCTCCCAGTGAGACCAGGCCCTTGTTTTATTTAATGCCTCTATCATACTAATTTTGAACACTGATATCTAGCAATTCTTAACCCTTTGAAGTCAATACAAGTATTCTTTTATGCTGAACTTGGATTAGTCTCATCAAATCATCAATGTAGGACTTGAAAAATTACCTTTTCCTTAAAAACCCTGAAATAACTGTTAATAAACTTTTAGTGGCTATACTCCCATTGAGATAAAAAATAGAGGATAGAATTCTTAGAGGTTGGAGGGGGGAACAGTATTTTCCCTGATGTCTCTCTACCTTTTACAGCAGTAGCCCAGTAGTGTAAAAACATCTGACACAGATGGCTTTTAGCAAAAAAAAGTGTAAACAGTCTTTGTACAGGTACCACTGAGAATATCCTCAAAGGGCAAGCTCTCATCTAGCAGGACCAACTGCTTTAAAATCACCATACCCTGATCATTCTTCCAAGACAGAGCAGAGGCATCTGGCAAAGGAGTAACACTGGGCAGCTTTGTGGGCAGAGGAGCAGGAACTGGATCAGGCACATTCCAAGTCTGGAAAAGATGACAAAGTTAAAAAACAACAACAACAGTCTTCTCACCCCAAATAAAGTCCTTCAGCTCCTTAGATCAGAAGAAAATGCAATATCCAGTAACAGCTGTGCTTAGGTGCCAAAGTTTTATATATTAAGTCCCTGTACACTTGCAGGCCACGAAAGCAAGATTTCTCTTCAGTACCTTTGTCAATCCATGACTGCTTTAAAGAACTACAGATAAATTTACAAAATGCAATAAAATAAAAAAAAAAATTAAGTATTTTCTTAAATTCAAATGCTTGCCACAGGCAAGGAACACTTCAAACTGGAATTTAAAATTTTTCTCCCTAAGTTTGATGAAAAAAGCACCTGGCACATGTGTTAGTTGTCTTTGACTAGGAAACAGGTTCATGAAAAGCTGGTAAAGCCTTAAGGAACTCATTGGATTGCTCTGAAAATCCATTCATGAACAATAAGCTTTTAATAGGACGGGAAAAGAAACCTGGCAGCCTTACAGAATCTGATCACTCAAACCCAAATTGGGAATAACATCCACACCCAGGTATCCTGATTGCAGATAACCATCTCAGCCAAAGTTAATTGGTTATCAGTTTGAACTATTTAAAACAAAATGAGGAATTATTCCCATCTAAGCAAGCTTTGGCCACCTCCAAAAGAGGAACATGGGCTTTCACTACACAAAGTGACCGTGGTTGTCTGTGTACAGGGCTGGGGTTAATAAAACAAGAGCACATAATCTCATATATCCATATTTGCCTATTTCCAGATACAGTAAAGATGGTGATCTTTACTCTGGTAAAGCAATTATTCATTCCTCTCCCTGATTACAATCTTCTAAAATGCTACAACTTGTGGAAGGAAACACAGAAGCCTCCATTTGTGACTTGCCTGCCATTTCACTTAGTTCTCCCTGACACATAAAAAATGGAGTTTCATTAATTACACACAGCCTGCTACACGACACAAGGATGATCACATTTTAAACAGCTTTTTCCCAGACATACAGGCCCCCAAAATCAGAAAACAGTGTCTAACACCTCCCTTCTAGTCTAGACTGACTAATTTAATGAATCCATTTTTACTATAAATTACTCCAAACTACGATCATCCTGTCATTCCCTCTATCACCGTGTAAGTGTTTGGAAGTCCTGGAATTTATCCTCACCATTAATTCATAGTTCACAGTCTTTATCTAGTAATAAAGCATTAAGAAGTAAATGCAGTATTATTCATTTACTCAGACAGTAAATGTGACTTTCTTTCCTTGGACACACAAGTTTTTACACTACCAACAAAGACTGAAATGAAATAAAATGATACCTCACATAATTCAAACTCTTAAGTAACTCTGCTTCAGAGAAGTGCTGGGAGAGGAAGAGAAACAAACGGGACAAACACCTTTTCAAGGCAGTAAACAGCAGAAATTATCTGTTTAGCACCATTTCAGACACAACCATACACACTCAAACCAACTGCCACTTCTACATTGTTCTCCACAACAAAATTAGTACTCTCCTCCCACATCCAACCAACCTAAAAATAATGGCAGGGTGTAATTATTCTATTTGTGCACGGGCCACATTTCATTGACCTGGTTCACCACACAGCTCCTCCAGACCAACAAATCAGCTGCTTCTAAGATGTGCTTTCAGGCCATCAGACAAGAACTACCTAAAACAATGACACCCAAAAAGCAAAACCAACATGAACTTTTAACAAGAAGTAACACCAATTTACAGTATAAGTTTAAAAAAAATTTAAAAATTAAGTCAGGCACTGCAAAATACTGTGAAACATAAAGCTAGCGTGTTAGAGAACTGCATTTTACTTGGTAAAAGAGACGAAAGGAACAAGCTGTGATGGTTTAAACAGGTATCAAGTATCTTCACCTTCAATTCAAGCTACAACAATTACCTGCAGAACTCGTATAATGACAGACATTACTAATGCAGCCATACCCTCCAGAGGCTGGAGGATGTGGAGAGCAGGTGGAAATTGCACAGCATCCTATGGAACTGAGCACAGAGCCAGATACCGATTACTCCTCCTCCTTCTTACTGAGGGCCTTCCATTGTCAGCATTTACCTCCTTTACAGTCTTCTGAGAGTGTTTCTTGCTATTCCATTTACGAGCCTTGTCTGTATACATTGTCTTCTCTGCCTCTGTCAGGGACTTGAAGGAAAATTAGCTGTTACAAAAAGGTTTCTACCTTTTTCTAGTAGTCCCACAAACCAACAAACTCCCCGTGTAAGAAATCACTCCTGCACTTCCAAAGGACACTACTGATGGCTGCCAAGACTGACTCAAACACTCGCAGGCGCTTTTTTCCTAATAACGCCATAAGGCTCGATTACAAACACCCAGCAAGGAGAAGCTAAAGTACCTCGGAGTGAGGGCAAGTCACAGACAAGAGACCTCCTAGAACTACTCCTGCCGGCCGGGGATGCCGCCACCACCACCCCACCCACGGCACACGAACCTCCCTGCGCTGAGGAGAGCGCGGCACGGCCACCTGAAATGGCGCCGAGCCCACCCTCCAGGAAAGGCCCCGCCGGCATTCCGCCCTCACCTCCCATGCCTGGGAGCAGTAGGGGATGGCGTCCGCCACACGGGCCACGGGCAGCCCGCGCCGCTCCAGCGCGGGCAGCTGGTCGTGCACGAAACACGAAAAGGCGCTGCGGTAGCTGCCCCGCCGAGCCATGGCCTCGCCGAAGGGCGCTGCCCACACGCGGCCCCTCATGAGGGACGGGCGGGGCGGCGCCCGCGCGTTCGGCGCCATGAGGGGCGGGCGGGGCCGCCAAGGCAGCGCCCTCCAGCCCCGCTGGGCTTGGGGTCTGCTCTGCTGTTTGAGCTTCGCCTGCTCTTTACCGGCGATAAAGGAGAGTTATCAGTGGGACAGACAGCGGCCAACAAGCCCCAAGGGTCACAGAACGTTGCGGGGTTGGAGTGTGCTTTAGGGATGATGTAGTTCAGAGCTCTGACCATCCCTGGCCTTGGGATGGGCAACTTCCCTGGGCTGCTTGTTCCTGCTCCTCACTATCCTCACAGTAGGGAATTCCTTTGTAATATCCAGCCTAGGTTTCCTGTCTTTCATAAAATAAAACAAGAGACTGTATGTCGGTGGTTAGCACCCCTTAATCAAGGACATTCTGTAGCAAACACACTCTATGGGTGAAGTAAATAGTGATGTTGATGTATATATTGCCAACTTGGCAAAAGGTTTAAAGCCCATGCATCCGGACTGTATGTCAGTAGAACCCGGTAAGTGGTTAGCACCCCTTAGTCAAGGGCGTTCTGTAGCAAACACACTCTATGGATGAAGTAAATCAAGGTGTTGATGTATATATTGCCAACTTGGCAAAAGGTTTAAAGCCCATGCATCCTGTAGAATCCTAAAATCAGGGTTGGAAGAGACCTTTAAGATGAACCAGTCTAACTTGGCACTATCGCTGTAAGCCCGCACACCATCCAGTGTCAGATCCAGGTGCCTCTTAAACATACCTGGATATATGTGAACTACCTTCATTGCAATATTAAGAATCATGCCTCTGTCTAGGTGAAGATCCTTCCCCTGAATATGCATAGGAGTCTGGTGGGACTATGCAATTGTATGGTAATTATTACCAATCATACTTGGGAGGTCACTAACACAACATTTTTGTGTGGAAGTAATGGCATGGAAAGCCCAGTGGGCTGTGCTTGATTTGTGAAATACCACCAGGCACCCAGGCTTGTGCAACTCCAAAATAAGTAAATAATCAATGTCTCTCTCAAGTGTGTAATTACTGGCTTGTTGCACACCACATAGCTGAATTTTGTGGACAGCAATTTCACAGCAGGTCCTGATGAGAGTGTGGCATGGCTGCTCTTCTTAATTTTTTTTTTTTGTAATGTTCTTTGGGTGCTGAAGGATAAGAAACATGGGAACATGAGTTTGCACCAGGTTCAGGAAGGAGAAGGGGGAAAAGAAGAAACTAACTTCAGCTGAGAGCCCTGGGTTTAGTTTGAGATACATGGCAGGAAAATGGAGGAGGTGAGTAGGCATGTGTGCACTTGGAAGGGCAAATTTCTTTATTAAAAATTATTTGGGAACTCATGTTACACAAAACTGAGGCTGCTGTTCAGACTTTCTTTTTGTGGTTTTGGGTTGCTTTTTGTGGTTGTTGGGGTTTTTTCCCATTATCTATCTCATTGACATAACTGACACTTCCTTCACTGAAATTGCACAAGTAGCCACAGTTCAGATGAAAACAAAAGCTGGAAGTAATCTGATCTGCATCATCTTGATAAGTGGCACAGAGTTGCTTCCTGCCTTAAGCTTTCTATTGATCTCTCAAAAATCAAATGATCTTCACTGGCCATAGTAAAAAAAAACTTAAATAAATAAAGAGAAGCTAGCAGGGCAATAATCACAGCAGGTCAATAATCACAATTGGCCTTAAAATGAAGTTTAATCAGTTTGCTGAAATCTGGTTGCCTGGAACAGAGGACCCTACATTTGACATGAGACAGGGTTACTGGAGTGGCAGTACTGGCATAGGCCCTGATTAACTTCTGGCCTGATTTTCCTTGGCCAGGGCATGTGATGTCTCTCACATTCCTCGCTGTTCCCCTGTCTTTTGGGGAATCTCCTTCAGCATCCATCTGCTTCTCATGCAGCCATCTTCAGTGGAGTTATCCAGACTGTCTCCATGAAAATGAATGGTGCAGCACTGACATGGAAGATTCTTTGCAATTCTCCATCCCAGAATCCTCTTGAATTTGCTGTAAACTTAGACATGAGGATAAAAACAGCAATGAAACACATCTGTGCATTTCCAAATCACTGGAAAAGTCTGCCTCTTTTCCTCAATCTAGCCACTTTTTTTCATCTTTTATCAGTCTGCTCAGCTCCAAAAAAGATTCAGGCTTAAACCTTTGACTTAGCAAATTATGTTTGCCAGTGCTGGAATTGCTGAAAGGTAAGCTCAGACCAGATTGCTCTTGCATCTCCCTGGTGGCTGATTTCTCTGAGGGTTAAAAAATGCTGGCTCATTCTGGAGGCAGTTCTGTCTCACTCAAATCTTGTGAAACAGTTTGGTTTGTGTTCCACTTAGGAGATTTGCTGTTAAACATGCAGGAGGAATCAATCACATTGTTAAAAATGTAGAAAATCATGATGTAACCTCAAGGTAAGCATTTTTAAAGTCACTTTTACTGCTGTGGAAAATAATTTCTATTCCAGTCTAGTTCCAGATACATTAATGCTAAGTCTCTGAGGAAAGACTGCAAGAAATGACTTGTATCTTGTAAATATAAACATCTGCACAGAGCCTAGTTCTTTCAGGCAGAAAGGCAAGTGTTTACTGTTATATTGCTGTAAGAGTTGTTGCTAGGAGTGCATCTGTGCACTTGTGTTTTATTTTTCTTCACATCATATTCTTTCCTCTCATGTGCAGCTTTGGGACCCACCCTTCAGCAGCCCTTCCTTTTAAAGAAATTCAGATAATGTGTGCATCAACTGTTTGAAAAACACAAGGCTCCAGTGATAGCTCTCCTAGGGCTAGAGGTGTGGTTGGAAAATAAAATTCATAAGCAGTAGAGAGAGAAAGGATTTTCCTCTGTGGGGTGGGGGTCAGATTAAAAAAACAGGGAACAGATTATCTTCAGAGCATCATACCATCAGTATTCTTCCCCAGGGCCCTGAGGAGAGCCCAGTGCCTCTGAACAAACTCATGTTTTAAATCTTCATTTGTCTGCTGTTTAACTTAGCAGGCAAAGGACTTTTTTGGACCATTTACACTGATTTGAAAATAACATTTGTACCACTGAAGCCCTTCCAGCAGATAACAACAAGTGTTGTGCCAGTATTTATATATTACTTGGGGTTTTTTTTGTTGTTTTTGTTTATTTTAAGCACTTAATTTAGTTAATTGATATGCCAACACTTAAAGTCCCCTGTACCTGGCTTTGGAAACTTAGCTTCAGAATTTACAAAATCAGGATAAATGGTCCAGAAAAGTCCTCTGCCAGCCTGTGCTTTTCTATCAATGCATGGAGTTTGCCAGTATCTCAAAATGGGGACAATGTACCCTGGTACTATATGGACAGAAAAACTATCTGGAACTTTTCTGCTAGTAATGTATTTTCATAAATTCAGGGTTCAAGGCTATAGTCTTAAAAAAAATTATTCTACAAAGCATGGCAGTGACTACATCTGCTGTTCCCCACTTACCTGCTGGTCTGGGGCTACAGCACTCCCCCACAAAGGGAAATATTTGGTGTTTATGTTGGAGGAATCAGGCCAGATCCATCAGCCCAGGAGAGGCGAGGCTGATGCAACTCCACACTCCCAGGTCCAAGTGAAGGGAGGTCAAGTATGTATTCCCAGCCTAACCCAGCTCCTGCTGTGCTTTTCCCATTAGAGATGAGCCATCCTCTCCCCCTCCCTGGCTCTCAGGGCACACCACTTCCACAAAGAAGTCCAGCTGGATTGTAACTAACGCTGTCACGCTCACTCCCTCCTGGCACCACTGACATGAGGGCTTCTGGCTGCTGCTCTGCTCTAGGGGACAGTAATCCTGGTCACTCCCTCGGGGCTCTCCAGCTGCTGGCACCCAGCCACACCAGTGCCTGCAGTCCCGGCCCAGCTGGTGGCACCCAGACAGTCACTCATTCCAGCTCCTGGCCCCAGGGACACGTAGGGGCCCTATCTACCTCAGTCCCATATTCCAGGTGCTGGGTTTACATCGACTTATTCCTGTTTGTCCAGTCACTGTCACCCAGGCACATGGACTCTCCCACCCATGGCATGACTAGAGGCTGGCACCAGACCCCGGTACACATGGATACGCCCAAAACAGAGAGTTGCTCATTCAGAAAAGAAGTTATAAAGGAATCTAATAAGAAGAAAGGAACAGTGTGCATGATGGATAAGCACATCACCCAGAAAACTCTTCACACTGACTGGTTCTTTTTATTCCCTTATCCATCTATTTATCTTACCTATTCCTTCCTAAATCACCTAGCTCTCTCCCTTTCTTTGCCTTTGATTCTTTCTCTAAGCATCCCACGAGGAGTGCTATGCAATCCTGAGATGCTCTTCCCTTGCATCCCCTGAGTCCTAAATCTGTAGGATACAGTCCCCCTCAGTTCTAAAGTTGCTGTGGTGTTGGCTCATCGTGGCAGGCTCCAGTCCGTATCCTGGAGCCAATACTTTCCTGGGACAGCCCTAGGAAGAGCCTGGAATGGTTTTCCTTTATTCTGAGTTCCTATCTGAGGGTTCCCATCTGCCATTGTGTCCCCGTGCTTCTACCGACTTGTGAAAATGGGCCACTGATGAGCTTTTGTGGTGGGTGTGGGAGGAGCAGGGCAGGCTGTTAGTTGGGCCGCCAACCATTGAAGTGCCATTGTCCCTCTGCACTCCTTTGTCTGCTTTGGAGACAAGCTTTTGTCACATAATCTCACGGCTGATTTCTTTCTCAGCCTGGTTATGGAGATTTAAAAACATACAAATTCTCTGGAGAGTGTTACAGAATATAGACCAGTAATTATTGTTGTTTCACATGTAATGCATAAACATCTCGGGAATGAGAGCTTGCAGGCCTCCCTTCCCCAGGTGAATGATTGAACCAGTCAGCTACAGCTGCCAGCTTTCTTTTTTGACCTTTTGACTTAGTGAATCCTGGGTTTCTTTTTGAACAGTGCCACGACTGCAAGAGT